CACGAGTTTACTTGGTTTGATATCATGTATTTATATTTTACAAAGTAATTTGGAATTTTAGTTTTTATTCCTAAGAAATTGGATTTCTTCTGATATGGTTTGGTACAACACAATGAATAGCTAACCTGTATCTCAAGAGTATTTGTAGTATATATGATCTAACCACCGGGGAAGAGTCTGTATCTGCTACAGCAAACGGCGTGAATGACTTTGTTCCACTCGCTTCTTTCAATAATACATAACTGAATAAATGGCTACGAACGTCGTTATCCGAACTACATGGATATTCGGGATTAAGGTAAAACATGTTCAAGAACTCCAAAAAGAAGTTAGTGAGTCGTCGTCTGTAAGATCTGTGCGACTCTATACGCTCACTGAATGAATGTAAAATTAAAATACAATTTGTCACTCATTAAAAAGACACATATGCAGTTAAATATATGTGAAACGATGATATATGATGTAATAATATTTTTAATAAATAATATATGGTATCAAACCTGAGATCATGCATCGTCCGCTTTTCAAGACCATTACTATACACTTCTTTGCACTTTGAAGCGGGACATCTCTTTGTATCTTTAAGTGTTTCGTAACATCGGCTACAAAATACATGTCCGCATCTCAAACACACTCCATCGTCGATATCATGGGGTCCACATGCGCAATGAGGTAATGCATTTTTTTCTCTGTGGAATATAGCGCTCGTTATACCCCAAATGCGATGACATTGTCTCTAACCAGCATACAAACCAACACTTCTCATGCGAGATACAGAGAACCTGCACATTTCAACTATGAACAAACCTGGGCGTTTTGTTTCCTCTCATTATTCAACTACACCTAAACACCAGGTAACATACAACATTCTATTCGTCTAAAATGATTAATCTATGCGTGTGGTTTAGGTTTTGTAACCGTTTCTTTCACCTTTTCTGATTAGAATCGCCTCAGCGCTGGCCTTGGACATTTACAGCCAAAAACATCGCGGATTATATGACATGAATAAATTCACAGTGACTTGTTACAATATTTTCAAATGAAATGTTGTATCTCACCCAAGAATTTCTTTTACTGCATTCTTGTTACATGTGTTAAGTAGTCCTTCTACTCTTTTCAAATGGTCCCATTTTGTAATTGTATCATTTTCAATAGCCTAATATGTTAATTTACAAAAAAGACAAAGCAATTTAATGATCCGAGGTTGGATGCATTTAAAAGTTTTTAAATATATATTTAAAAACTGTTATGAATATTTATATTTTAATAACCTTATTGCATCTTTCATGAACATTTTGCACTTCGATCTTAATACTTACATTGTAGTATATCATCACATATTCAATATCTTTCTTCAGAGTGTTGAATTCCTGAGAAACGTTGTCCAAAAACATTCGAACCATTGTTATGTTGATCCAGGATTGTCTGTCAAAAATCAACAGGAACCCCATGTTTATATATCTATGAATGGGTTGACAGCTTGTATTAACAATTAAGTAGAACTATTAGATAGTTTTATAATATATTTTGATAAACACACATTAATTGCATTAAACATATATATGTATACAAATATAGTTTTTAACGTAAATCTCGAATACATACAAGTTTAAATTACCTGCACTGGTTATATAGTCTCATACTCTGTGTACCAAAAAGATGTTGTAATACACGTAACTGGTCATTAATCTTGGCAACCTCAGGTACCAGTATACATAACCAATTGCGTAAATAGTCGTCATTCTTCAATTGCTCTTTAGAAGTTGGTTTCAAAGTATTTACTGCATATTGAAATGTTAAAATATCGGCAATCTACAAATAAAAAAAAACGCTCGGCTTCTGATATATAAAAGTAAAAAAAAGCGGATTTGAATATGGAAATTGCACTTTATGATAATGTGTTGAGTACTCTAGAAAACGATTTTTTGATAACCAGAAAGCGTAAATTCTTTTTTTGTTGTGGCGTATCATTAATATTTATAGAATTGAATTCACTAGTAGGGTAAGAGTAAGGAAGATTCTCACTGATTCTGGAAAAGTTGAGAAGGCATGTTTAAACAATCGTGCAAGTCAAAATGCTTTTTCACGTAGGCAGAATTTAGCATATGAGACTAACACCTCGGATAACAGTCGGTGGACAATTTAAATTGCATATACCATGGTACATTGGTGTTATCCCGGAATTGCGGAAGCATTGGAGAATTTTAATTTTAATAATAGCTGCATGGCAATGACAATAAATTAAACATTTCTTTGACAAGAAAGATAGTTTTACCATTTCATCCTCCATATTACGTTTTGATATTGTGGGAAGCATTTCCGGAAATAGTTTTATCAACTGAGCCATGCAATGCAGTCGTTCTTTGATACGGTGGTAGGCAATATGTATATGCGCCAACGTGACATTCATCTCGGTATGATCATTTCTCATCTCTTCGATAGCGGAGGAAATACATTGACAGGCCATCTATAAATAAAATAGAATATATTTGTATTCAGACAAAAAGGGAATTGTGTAAGGGAAGTGATCACAAATAAACCAGCGGATTACGGACCGGTATGCGCGGGGCTCGACGCGACATGCAAATTGAAACCCATTGTATAACTAAAAAAAGAACACCAATTGCTGTATAAAAATAGGACATCTTAAACATAAATACATGTAAATGTTTGTACACGTTTAGGACATTGTAGCAAAGTTTCTGCTGACCTATTCATGAATAGGTCTCTAAATAGTGTGCTTGCTGTTCATCAAAGCGTCGATTTCTAAAAATTGCTGGCGGCAAACATTCACTGACACGTTGCTTTGCCGGTGTAAACATCGGACAACTTGCGTTATAGCTAGCACTGATTTTAATACAAGTAACCTGTAGAATGCTGTGTGGGTCATATTTTTATATTGATTTTTGTTGCATTTGCAGCAAATAGTTACCAAACAATGAGAAATCTATAGGATTGGATATACCTCTCAACTGGCTTCACATGCATAGTTCAAGACTGCCTAACCGGTGCTTATACCAGGATTTAGTTGCAGCACTGTGGTCTGTGGTTACAGCTTCATTTTCCGAGTAATCACAAGAAATTGACATTACAATAGAAAATAAAAGACTGG